ATATATATGTGTGTGTGTATGTATGTACGTAAGTATGTATGTATACATGTATGTATGTATGCATATACATATATGTGTCCTTGTCTGTGTCTGTGCCTGTGTTTGCGTGTGTGTGTTTGCGTGTTAAAACACGTATGTGTTTATATTTATGAGTATACCTCCTTATTTCAGCGTACTGCTGTACGTTGTCTCCTGCCAATAGTCTTCTAATCGGTGTTCCTTCACATCCGTCCTACTGAATGCGTACATATCATCACTTCACTTGTACACCTACTCTTAGCATTTGCCTAAAGTCTGCACGCGCCTCTAGTCTTTTCCCCACAAGCCGCTATCTCTCGGCGTACTTCCTTGTCTATTGCCAGGCTTTTTCTCGTTTTTATATCTTTGTTTCGGATCCTTGAGTGTTGTTCTTTTTATGTCATATCAGCGTATATAGTGATAATTTTATATCATTCCATCGTATTAGTGTTTATGTCACTTTTCGCAATATGTTATTGTATATTGATCGCATTAAGTGTTTTTACCTCGCTTTTCGCAATACCTTAGTGTATGGGGTTTAGGGTTATAATAGAGGTTAGTTATGTATATTTATCGCATAGAACCTTTCAATCTTTCGACTGAACAGCTCGGCCAAACGCCGTTGCATTTTGCTGCGGAATTTGGGCATTCCGATTTCATCGCGTTTCTGATAGACCGAGACGCTCAAATCCAAGTACAGGATCGGGTATGTAAAATATATATGTATATGTATATATATATATATATATATATGTATGTATGTATGTATGTATGTATGTATGTATGAATTTATATATATATATATATATATTTATATGTACAATGTAATTTAGGCTCTTATACGCTTGTATCTACATGTATGTATGCTATCATACAAGTATAATTGTAATTGCTCTATTGTGTTTATCGTGGTTCATGGTATTTGTGTGGCCTCACGCAGGTATGTAAATAGGCAGGCTGGAAGGTCTTAATAGTGACCGCGAGTGTAGCCGACTCTGTTATTAATATATCCTGCTATAGACTCGTATTATTATTTTGTACGTTGGCCGTCTTGTGTTCGATTTTGTGTGCCTGCTTGTTTGTATGTACGCATGAGCATTTATAAATTCATGTATATAAATACACATGTATGGTAGTATGTGATCGAGTATTTATATATATCTATATGTGATTGGCCATGCTGCGTTTACGTTTACTTTTATAGGGCCTCGTGGTATGTCGGCTACAATGCTGAGAGACTATATCTCGTGTGCTGTCGCACTTCTGTTCTCCACTGTCCATTGTTTACGCTAAGTGCGTGAGTATCTGTACCAGCTTACCTTGGCAAAATCTGCGGTGTTTTTGGGTTTTTGGGTTTTTAGAGTTAACAAACACTTACCAATGTAAGAAATCACACAACGCGATTGAAAAATATCTGGTTCTCAATCTGACTGCATTGGGATCTGTCCAACACATTTGTCGTATCTCTCTCATTTTCTGTCGTATTTTTTTTCCGATGTCGTAAACTGAGCAGCAAGGGATGACCGCACTCCACATCGCAGCCAAAGAAGGCCAGACCAAAGCGCTGCACAATCTCATACTGTTGGAAGCTCCCGAAGATGCCCAGGATCGGGTATTTAACATACAACATAATATACGACATCGTAAAACACGGAACTGTCTTGTATATATAGCACGTACACGCGACGCAATAGAGAAGTCAGCAAAAAAATGTGAATGACATTTTAAATAACACATGATATATAATAAGATCGATTGTTCGACTGTATTACCTGTTACATAGATCGTGCAACATTGCGGGTACGAAATAGCACGTCTTGCTGTTCGTGGTCCTTCTCTGTGTGTCGTATTTCCTTTGAACCACTCACTCACTCATACAATATTACCCAACCTTGATAAGTGGTCATTTCAAATAACACAACGACCTCTTGTAGCAGAACCGTTCTGCGTTTCTTTCTGCCATCTTTATTATTAATATCGTACATAAGTAATTTATGTGCACATAAAACTTTATAGCTTCTCAGTACTATAGCATGCGTGCATAATGTTCAAAATACGCACATGGAACTATAGCATGCGTGCATAATGTTCAAAATACGCACATGGACACTTGTGTATTAATATAATGACTCTTTGTTTTATTTATAGGATGGCGATATGCCGTTACACCTCGCAGCATGCGCGGGGCACGTTGATGCGGTTGACTTGCTTCTCCAATCAGATCTGGATATTGACATCAGAGGCAGTGTATGTGAGATAACCTCCATGGACGCATATATATATATATATATATGTGTGTGTGTGTGCGTGTGTGAGTGTGTGTGTGGTGTGTATGTTGTATGTGTGTGTGTGTGTGTGTGCGTGCGTGTGTGTGTGTATGTTGTATATATGTGTGTGTGTATTCATATATATATATATATATATATATATGTGTGTGTATTCTATGCATATATATATATATATATATCTATATAGTGTATATGTATATGTATAAGCATCTGAATATTCAATTCTAAGCGCATATTCAACTGCAAAATCATATACCTTTCTCTCTGTACAAATATATATATGTCTACTGGCTTTATATATGTATCTGAACTCATTTGTACACGTACATTGATGTACGTGTATATATAATTCCGGCTTGAGCGAGAAATTAGGTTTCGGCAGCTAAGTTTCAACCATAGTGTGTTTGTATGTCTGTATCTAGCTCAAAGGTTCTAGGACAATATTAAAATTAAGTTCCACCAATCAAAATAAAAATTGCCCTGTTTGATTCATTGTTCGCGTATCTGACTTCAAACGTTTTCTGTTTATTTATGGATTCTATTTATAGGACAGCGACACCGCACTGATGCAGGCCACCGGAAATGCCGAGGCGCAAACAGTGGAACGATTAATACAGTTGGGTGCCGATGTTGACATACCCAACGATGTATGTGTGTACGATGCGAAAGTGTAGACATACATGGTGATAGAGATTATGTAGTGGGATGGATGAATATACCCAACGATGTATGTGTGTACGATGTGAAGTATAGACATGT